ATTCTGACTTCAAAGATTTAAAGACGTTTTTAATACGTACATTATATTTGATATTGAGATTTTGGGACTCTTTTTAGTAGTCCAGTTATTGCATTAAAGAACACAATTATTACCAACTTTTAAGTGATTCTATAAGTACTTGTCGTACTTTAATTTGTATTCAGTCTAAAAGCCATAAAGTATTATTAAACTTTGAATTGTCGTTAAGATATTGGAAGTTTTCCTTTGAATATTCCTTAAATTTTATAAATACCTTTGAGTATTTCGAAAGCTCCATCAAAACAGTAACAATATCTTTTTAAAAATTTACACTAATATACAAGTAATGTTATATTAACAAAACAAATTAATCAGCAGCTATTTTTAATTCTTGTAATTAATATTATAAGAATTAGTATTAATAATAAAGAAACATATTTTCAAAACAAAAATCTATCAAAAGAAATCAATTTTTTTCAGAAGATCGAGCTAGAACAAAAAGATAGATTTTAACATTTATTTTATTAACTTTTTATTTATATACTAATTTTCAAAAATAGATATATTATAAATTTTGTAATTTATATGATAATTTGAAAACTAAATATAATCAAACTTCTCTATAATCACATCTATTTATAGTTATATTCATCTATAGTTATTCTATTTTGCTTTTTCATTTACATATAAATATAGTAAAAAAATCTTTTATAATCATATTCTCTCTATAATCATCAAAGTTTGCTTTTTTGAGAATGGTGACTATAAAAAAATTTGACTGTATATTATTAGAAAAAAAGTGAATAAATTCATAACATAATCAATAAAACTCAATTTTTACTAAAAAATATATATTTTACATGATATGATCAATAAAATTCAGGTTTTACTAAAAAATATGAATTTTACAAGACACAATCATAAAACACAAATTTTATATAATCATCAGAAAAACTCAGATTTTACCAATTAACATGAATTTTTTCAGTTTGTAACTCAAATTTTACCTTGTCATATTATAATAATATATATTAATAATCATTTCTATAATAAAAGAAATTGATTAAATATGAAATTTAAATCTATAAAATTTAAATCTGAAATTAAATTTATTATCAAAATATTAAAGCTTACATAATATAAAGTAAATTAAAAATTTTTTTATAAAATGAAAAACCCATATTTTTTGTATTTTTACTATATTTAATTAATAATTTTTTTACTGTTGCATGCTTTTTGATTGTTACTATAAAAGTTTTGAATTTTATTAATAAATATTTTTATTTTTATATTAAAATAAAATTATAATTTATATTTTAACATATATTTTTTCTGGATTTTTTAGATTTAATTTGACAAACTTATAATAAAATTGCATATGTGATTCCATAATTATGTTAGTCACTGTATATATATTAATTTTTACTAGTCACTCTAATTACAAAATAATTTGAAAAAAATATATAAATATTAATTTCAAAAATAAAAACTATTTTGGAGAGTTTAATATAGTTATTACTCTCCGAAAAGTTAAATTATGATGATTATAGAGAAACGTGACTATAAAAAGTATAATTATAGTCACTTAATAATCGGAAAAGTCAAATTGGATAATTATAAAAAAATGTAATTATAGAGAAGTTTGATTGTATAAGAAAAATTTTCAATTTTTATTATATTAATAAATGTGCATTTTTTACGTTGACTACGATAGTTTATTTTTAATAAACTAATTTTTAAAACACATTATATAAAATAATTTTTCTTTTATTTTTTATTTTGAGATAAATATCAATTAACTCTTGAATTATAAACTGTATTAATCAACATTTTATTCAAATACTTATTTTTTATCACACTTAACTTTTGTAAATTAATTAATTCTCTTTTATCATAATGAAAGTAAAACGAGGTATTTCATCAACTTTGAATATTTCATAAGAAACAAGTTTAACCCTGAACAATTTTTATCAATAACGATAATTGGTACTATCTACCTGATTTGAGATGATAGATTATCAAATAATCATTAACGTTAAAACACCAGCGCTATTTATTCTTGCTCTTCACAATCAAGAAATTTCCTCTCTCTTACTGTTAAAACATGTCGGGTTCAGGACCTAGAATTAGTATATTTCCTACGCGCATGTAAGCTTTAGAATGCATAATATTCTGTTGAATTTTCTCATGGGAAAGAACAGAAACGAGTCATTTTGACCTTACATTGATAAAACTGCTCTATTTATTATGGGAAAATGGTTGATTTAATAATAAATGAAGGGCGTTAACCACCATGAAAGCGAAATTGAAAGGCGCACAGACCGGTCATAGTCTATTGAAGCGTAAAAGTGAGGCGCTCACAAAACGATTCCGAGTTATAGTGCAAAAAATTGACGAGGTAGAGGTTTAACGATCTATTTATATGATAGCTTTTTAATTGGCCTTCGGAATCACGAAATAATGGTCAAGATCGAATGAGTTTCTAATTTTCTCTGCTTGAAATTAAAACAGGCAAAGAAAAAAATGGGAAAAATCATGCAAACTGCGTCTTTTTCCCTTGCTGAGGTTAATTACATCACTGGTGATATCAGGTGAAAGAATTAAGAATATAATTGTTGAATCTTATGTAAATTTCTACTTGACCTTGTCTCTCAATCCTTGCAATCAATCAAAAAGTTATCAAGTTCAGGAAAATGCGAAAAATGCACAATTACGCGTGCGTACAAAACAGGAAAACGTGTCTGGTGTCATGCTGCCAGCGTTTGAGAATTATATGGAGGGCGGAAATGGTTCCTATATTTAATCGCTATTGACATCATTTTGCGAATCCCGATCCATTTCATTTACATTACTTCAAAAATATATAGCCTTTGAGTTAACTGGTCTTGGTCGTGGAGGTCAACAGGTTCAAAAATGCAAAGAAACTTACATCAAAGCTGTTGAAACCTTAGTAGAATTAGCTTCATTACAGGTAACCATCTCAAAAAATATTCACGATTTTTATCATCAAAAATATTCTCATCTGATCGATCCCTCATGTTTATGAATTAAAGACAGCTTTCGTAATTTTGGACGAAGTGATCAAAGTGACGAATCGGCGTGTGAATGCAATTGAACATGTGATTATACCAAAAATAGAAAACACAATAAAGTATATCATTTCAGAATTGGATGAACAGGATCGTGAAGAGTTCTTTAGGTACATTTTGAAAGCTTCATGCTATATAGTTTACGTGTATTCCATTAATAAAAATCCTTGCAATCAGATTAAAAAAGGTGCAGGCAAATAAGAAAAAAACCCAAGCTGCCTCGGATAAGGAAAAAGCTGATCTAGATGTCTCAGATCAGGATGGCATTGGTAATGACATGAAGAAGCGCATTTTTTACTTGATAGCACTCGTTTATGATTATTTAATTAATTTTCCGGTTTTCTAAATATTTTATAGGCAAAACCGTCGATATCCTAAGAGTCGCGGATGATGAGGATATTATCTTTTAGCGAGGAAGGAGATAGGTTGTTAGATTATGACATAAAGTGTGTATACAACTACGGACTTTTTTGGGCGATTAGATTGGGATCACTTTTTCTTGATTTTTGTATTTTTGCATTTCTGATTCATTAAATTATTTATATGTTATTATTAATCATTGCCAATAATGGACCTTATAATAATACTAATAATAATAATAATAATAATAATAGAACGCATGAAATCTCTAGTCTTTTAAATAATTATTTATTCAATTACAAAACAAATAAAACGACGTGTAAAACTACAAATGCAATCCACCAAGAAACAAACATACTTATTATTACCCCTTCTACTTCTCCACTTACCAATTTCAAAGGGATCACCATAAATAATTCATCGCCTTCAAACTATATTCGACTCCCAGGAAGCATGCAGCATTTGCTGGGAACGCACGCAACATAGCCGGCCCAAGTCCTTTGAATAATGCACCAGGACCATCTGTTTTTAGTAGGTGACGTAAAACGTCAAGAGTACTCGAATATGTACCAGCCGGAGCTGATTGAATTCGTGATTTTAGTACGTCGGGTGGAATTGCAACCATCCACATTCCCAAACTTTTCAATGATTGATTATTGTTAATATCATTGATATAGATTTATGATTTTCTAAAACAATGAAATTGCTCTTACCCTGAGATTTTGATACATAGTTTATATTAGATAAATCAGAAATCAATAAGGTCAATAGTTGAACAAAACAATATCGAAAATCCAACATACCAGCCATTCCTGAAAATCAAGGTCAAAAAGAAAATAAGCTTAAATAAAGTCCAAATCAAGAACTAAAAACCAAGACATTAATTACCTCCTGCAAAAAGCACTGCCCCAGGATGCAACTTATCAGGAGTTGAATCTTTCGGCGTCAACAAACGTTTCATCAGCTCATAAACCCCAAAATAAGCGGCAGACCCCGGTCCATCACGCAAGAACGTAGCAGGCGATCCTCTAAAGATACTCCTTATTCCGCCTTCTTTATATAATTGTTTTACAGCATCAATAGGTCCTTTGTATTTCGCTTCACCTCCTTGACCTTGTACTTGTAATAGGACTTTAACTCGTTCCAATGGACCCATTAGGAGAGTTGTTGGGCCGGCTGAGAAAAATCCGGCGGCCATAATTTCTCCAAGATTTAGCGTCTGAGATGTACGATTTGGTGTTACGGCGTACACTATCTTCTTTCCTAGATCATAGGACTGATTAAATAAGATAAATTATTATCTAGGTCTAGGAAAAATCGAGGACATATGACCTCATTTTTTACTATAAATTTTACTGGAGTATCAAAATTGATTGAGAACTTACCCAAAAACTCACGGCGAAAACGGGCGTAACCCCCACTAATGGCGGACCCATGCCTCTATATAACCTGTTCACGTTTCCCTATTTAAGTATATCACCTCTCCAAATTCCTAATTACTGCCAAAATTCCTAGACACGTACCCTCGAAGTCCATCTTTTGCAATGATTTGTTTCGTTACATCTAGAATACCGGTGTACGCGCCTGCGGGGGCTGTTTGCAATCGTACCTTAGATAGAAATAAAAGGTTATTGAATATCTATTCGTGAATTTGAATAAAAAGTGTCAAAATGTACCTTGATTAGATCAAATGGATGACCTTAATTTGTTTGACCCATATGATGAATGCCTTTATTAGTACAAAAATTACAATGATGGTATTTCTCATTGTTGTGCTCATTTTCTTGTTCTATGGGTCCAATGCACCATTAACTCTTATTACTATCTCTACTTACCAACAAGTACCGCCGCTACCCCGCCATACCCGCCGGATATAAAGGACTTTAGTCCAGATGTCGTCTGTTTTTGTTCAATAACGGCCGTTTCAAGTTGTTCAACGTTATTCGTTGTGATAACAGTAGGTGCGGGTGCGACGATCTCGGTTGACATTTTCTTCGAGTTTTTCAGATTATCTTGAATATTTCCAGCTTCTTATAACGATAAACTGATTGATAATTCAAAATGTCGCACAGATTTTGTTCATCATTTCCTTTATCTCTCTTTTATTTATAAAAATAATCATAACGATAAAAATTACACAGCTAAATGTGCATACAAATCATTGCAGCTAGCAGCAATATAACATACAACCGAGTTCTTCGCGCTCATATAAAATAATCCTGCATCAAAATTGCTCTATCGATTACCGAGAAACAAACAATCGATCAACCGCTTGATCAATGGTCACCCCTGCACTTTGGTTTTTTATTGTAACTCCTACCACATCGATAACAAAAGTCTTCCCCGCACTGAATAAGATTGATGATTAATGATAAATTTCAAAGAACCAAGAACAAGGATGGTAATGGAAGACACTTACGAAGCAAGCGATATGATTGCATCCGTTCCTTTTTGCTACCCAGAAACCACAATTCGGGCATTTTTGCATTTTTTGATTTCGAATTGCAGACAATGTTTGCTGTTCTTCTAATGTGTTGGCACTCCCTTTTGCGCGTTCAATATCCTGAAATCCCATGCAAGCTAATCCATTGTGATACGGTACCATACAATTTGCACAAACCCAATGACCACGTTCAATATCGATGACGATAGGCGCAGCCACAGGCACAGCAGAATTAGTATTATTGCTATTATTTGCAAGATTCGTGTTAATAATATTATTATTATTGTTGTTGTTGTTGTTGTTGTCATCCAAGGTTGTTGGATCTTCAGGTCCGGGACAATAAATCCGACTGGATCTTGCGGTTTTTGGGTCATATTGCAATGCTCGAGAACAAGTTCGAACTGGACAATATATTTCTATTGATGGAAAGGAATAATAAGCAAGTGTGAATGCTAAACAAAGGAATTGATGATAGTTGATGAGACCAATTGTTCAAATATTTACTGTTTTGCATGATAGCTTCATCATGCAATCGTTTGAATTTTTGTATTAAACTCTCAATTTCTGATTTACTGCCGAGAACATTCACTGTATTTTCCAAGCTAGTACTAGCAATTGGGTTTGTTGGTTGCAATCGAAATAGCCTTGATGCGTTATCGGGGTTGACCACGGATCGACACCGTGGAGCTGGACATCGACATGGAAATTTATGCTCTTTTAGTTTCATACTGAGATATGTGTGCCAACATTCCACACAGAATGCATCCGGACATGAATTAGATCCATATTCCTTGATAAAACATTATTAAATTATTGCCATGATAAATAAGAATAACCGCGCGTAAAAAGGATAAAAAAATTCACATACTAAACGAGTGTAAGTTTCCCTACAAATTTCACAAAGCCCAGTGGCTATCGGCGGCCGCGTTGTTTCTGAATTTCTTAAACGCACAGGTGCGACAGGTTGTTGTCTGTTTGATCCTAGTCCTACATTTTCTTGTTCTTCGTCTGAAGAATCGTCTTCAGACTCTTCATCGCTTGGAACCGTGACTAACATTTCTTCATCCGATGATTCTGAGAAATCACCTTCATCTTCGTCGTCCATATTATCCCCACGTCCCCATCCTAATTCTCGCTGTAATTGAAGGGCAAAAGCATGATCGTTTTCGATCATTTGCAATTGTTGAAGCTGTGCATCATTAGAAATATCAGATTCTGTAATAAGACTCGTTCCACACAATTCACATTCTATAAGCTCCGGATAATTATGAAAAGTACAGAGAGGACACTCGCGATAAGAAGTGTTAATATTATTATCATGAATATCTGTAACTAATACTGTTGTTTCGGTATCTACAACGGCCATATCTGAAGTGTTAAAGGACGATAGGGCAGGCGTCACAAAAGTTTTATTAGTTTCGACAAAGCTACTCTCCTGATCTTTTTCGTCGTCGTCATTGGTCAAGTCAATGACATCATAAGGACGTTTCTGCGGTGTGGCAAAAGTATTAGTGAGTTGTGGTTGAGGGGTATTATTAATTTGGCGCGAACTGCTTGCAGTGTTTATGGCATCTACGGAAGTGCGGCGAGGACGTCGACGAGCAGTTGCTATGACTCGAGACTCCATTAAACAAATATTCTGGTGATTTGATGAATTCTTGGTGTAAAGAAGGAATGCTTCTTCTTTGGTTGATAATATTGAGTATTGAATGAAATTTTTAAGTTTATTTATATACTATGACGCGGGTTTGATATAAGTATGATCGGCATCCATCCTATTATACAAACCCCATTTGGTGAAAATACTCACTTTTAAGTAAATGCGACAGAAGACAATAGTGCGAACTAGCCTTAATTGCATTTTAATGCAAATGATATATGTATGTCGAAATGCACATTGAATTGTAATGCCTGGATTCTGTCCTTGCCCGAGCATGCCAAGAAACAAGCGTTCTCCAGGTCCTTTAATAAATAGACATAACCAAATGGATATACCTTTTTTGCTTTCATAACCAACGAATTTCATCTTACATCATATGCCGTATATCTACCAAGAGTAAAAGTAAGTCCGTTATTCGGTTTCGTAAAAAATTAAGACTGTGCTCTATCTTCAAGCACGAAACGGGAAAGCAAATCTTTGATCTATGCTAAAATAGATAACGATAAGAAACGAGACAACAATTGATCCCGAGGATTCCTGACACCATCTCTTCTTGACGTGAAAGCAGGTTGTTCAAGCGTGAGAGCTTGCTTCCGGGAATTTATTACCGGTATTAACATTGAGTTTTAAATTGCAAATATATTTACTTGCAAAATAGTACGTTTGGCTCATAAGTTGAAATATAAGGTGGAAACGATTATTTGTTTAGGAACAACTATAGAGCCAATGCATCTTAAAAAAGGCACATCCTTAAACAACAACTATTCTATATATAACATATTTAATATAAAAATGCAAGTATTATCCAACCTTCTCGACACGAAAATTAAACTGCTTTGCTGTTCGAGTGTTTGGGTAATGCACCAATGCTTTATCACCATTGGAATGATAGTTTTGATATTCACGAATGCTGGATTTTACAGTAGAGCCGGCAAATAGTCTCAACGTTGCTAAATGGCAACAAACAGCAATAACATTGTAATAACACTACTCGGCACTCTTACGAACATTGGAGATACGCAACGACAAATATGGTCGATAATAATAACTAACGCTAACAATACAAATAATAATCAAAATGATGTCATGTTACCTAACAAATTTTATTTAGTTTATTCAAAAACGAAAATATATAAAATGAGTGAAATTCTATTGGTTGATAAAAATAGCATGCTTTCTTAATGATTAAATAGATAATGCTTTGCTAATTTAAATGTTTGTTAATATCTGGTATAGTCACTTTATTAGATACTACAGAAGCGCCATTCTTTTCACAAATAATACTATCTTCTCCCTCCAGGTCACAGTATTCTGCCTTTCTCTTGACTTCCGAATTACTTCACCTTTTTTCAAATTACTTTAATGGTTTATTGCAGATCCATTTTATAGGAAATTAAATATGTGGTGATACATTTGAAGATCAACCAATCAGATTTAAGCTCGCTATGTATCATTATGCAAATTGAGATCAAATTTAACTATAAATATGTACAGTGAACACTTTATTTCTTCACTTTGACATTTAAAAAAATGGATATGCCTTCCTTTAAAAAAACTCTTAATATAGAATCTACATCGATAACTTCTGCAGTGGGTAATTCAATAGATAACACTAATTACGTGGTTCTAACAATTACTGAAAATGAGATCTCCAAAGAACAAAAAAAAGATGATGACTCCGACGACGAATATTCTCGCCGGCATAAACATCACAAGAAATCAACTAGTTCTAAGCAGCGCTCTTCCGCTTCTAAAGAACAAGAAGGTTCTAGCTCAGATTCTTCTTTCGCTTCTAAAAAACACAAAAAACAAGAAGATTCAGATTATTCTCGGACAAGTTTAT